GGCCCCTCTGCCATGCCACCCTGCCTTGGAGGCAGTGGACTATGGACTATAAATCATGAGCCAAAATAAGCCTTTCCTCCTGACTCATTCAGATATTTTGACCCAGGAACAAGATGGTAACTAGTTAGTAACACTAAAGCAATGAAACAGAATAGAAAGTCTAGAAATAGATCAACATACCCAAAAATTCAATATGTGATTTTAATAATAGCATTTTAAGTCATTCGATAAAAATTTAGCCAATAAATAATACTAAGACAACAAACTAAACATCTGAAAAAGTTAAATTTATTGATATATGATACATTCTATTGGGATAAATTCTAGAAAAGTAAAATATTTGTAGGCAAAATGCAACCATAAATATACTAAAAGAAAGTACAAAATAATTTTTTATAATTCTAAAGAAGGCCTTCCACTTATAAGACAAAATCTCAGTAATCATTATTTTTATAAAATCAGCAAAAACTTATACACTGCAAAAGTAACTATTATAAAAGTAAAAAACAAACACGCACATACATTAGGGCTAAGGTATGAGACTGGGTACAAATACCAAGAGGTAACAGGAAGGAATTCCTCTGTGCTGTTGGAATGGTTTTATATCTCAGTCATGTTTCCATAAATCTATAAATGGGATGCAATCTCATAGACCTACACATAAACACATATATGAACATAAAGTTTAAAAAAAAAACAGTGAAAACTAAATAAGGTCTTTAGACAAATTAATAATAGTGCCCTAATAGTTTTCTAGAGTTTTTTTAGTTTGTTCTTCATTTTTATGGTACTGGGGATTTTTAACACAAAGCCTTTGCATTGAGCTACATCCCTGGACCTTTATAATATTTTTTTTTTAATTTTGAGACAAAGTCTCCCTAAGTCACTAAGTTGCCCGAGCTGGGCTTAAACTTGCTATCCTCCTGCCTCAGCCTCCCAGACTGTTGAGATTACTGGCCTATGCCACCATAACTAGCTAGTTTCCTGGTTTTGATGTACTACAGCCATATAAGATTTTACGCCTGGGGGAAGCTGGTATGGGGTACTTAGGACTCTTATTATTTTTTCAACTTCTCATGAGTCTACAATTATTTCAAAATAAAAGAGGTTTTCAAAATTAATATAAGAAGCAGGAAAATTAAATTTAAAATATCAGGAATTGGGGAGTAATTTGTTGCCCATGTCATAAAGAGCTAGTTTCTCTAAGACAAAGAGCTCCTTCAAAAAGATGTAGACTGTTCACATAGAAGAAATATAAATGGCTCAAAACACATCAGACAATGATAATCCTGATCCTTATAATGAGCTTTGCAAAGGACAACTACATAATATATCTTTTTTTTTTAACCTAATAGATTAGTAAAAAGTAGTGTTGGGGGTAAGGAAAGCATATTTCTGGAAGGGAAGTAAATTGGTATAAACTATGCCTAACAAATGAGAAATGCACATGCCATTCTACCCAGTAACTGTGTTTCATAGAACTTAGCCTACAATTCATTTGCATGTGTGCAACATTACAGATGTAGAAGATTCTTCTTTACTCTATTGCTATAATAGCAAAACAGGAGAAGTAACAAATTACCACAGATGACTAAAGAAATTGTGGTACACCCACATCCCTTCCTCAGAAAAAAAGTCAGGTAATACTACATGCACCCCTGTACACAGATCTCCAAGATATATTGTTAAGTGAAAGAACAAGGAGGAGTTCAGTGTATGTTGTGCCACAATTTGTGTAGAAAGACACTGAAACATCATTAGTTAATTAAGTATTTGGAGCTGGGCATGGTGGTGCACCCCTATAATCCTAGCACTCAGGAGGGTGAGGCAGGAGGATTGCTATGAGTTTGAAGCAAACCTGAGCTACATAATGAGTTCAAGGCCAGCCTGAACTACAGAGTGAGACCTTAACTCAAGGAAAAAAAAAACTATTTGGTTGGTTAGTGGCATAGAATATATCAGTATGTAAGGTACTTGATTAGTTCATTAGTTAGGAATAAGGATAGAATAAAATATATCTAGAAGGACAAACATAAAACAGGTAAGAATTCTTCAGAAGGAATAGATAAGAGGGAGATTCTTCTATAGAGTCTTCAATACATTTTGAGTTTTTAACCATGCAAATATTTTATAAATTTCAAATGCTTAAATTAAGAATTAGAGGCATTTCTCAAAGATAAGCAGTTAATGAGTGTGTGTCTACTGTATATACTCTAATGTAAAAGGAGATTATTTTCACTCTCAGAGAAGGCTAAAATCTCTAACAGGAACCCAGTTGCACTAGTCTCTGAAATGTGCACATTGTGATATGTTTTAGCAGAAGCTGTTAATCCTGCTTTATAGACACACCCACCTGCATTTAAATTTTCTCCAAAAGTATTTCCCAAATATTTGCATAGTAATTGAAGCAATTTATTTTAAAATAAATATTTTTTGGTACATTTAAGGTATGAAATGCAATGACATTCATCAATGAAATTTTGCACCTTTACATAGTTCATCTTTGTTCTTATTTTTTCCCCACTCCCCTGCCCTCCCTTCAACCCCTCCACCCCTCCCTATCTACAAAGACTTCATTTCCATTTTTTTCTCATGTTAATTCCATTCCCTTCTTTCCTTCCCCTCCCCTTCTCTCTTCCCCTTTGTACCTTTTCTTCCTATTTCACATTATCTATTAAGTCCTTATTTACACTTTCAGTTTCTCACACTAGAGAAACTATTCCGTATTTACACATATGCAATCCTATTTATTTCACTTAAGAGTATAGCTTTAAAATAAATATTTAAATATAAAATTTAATGGGATGATCCTTTTATGGAAAATAGTACAATAGTTTTTAGACATAAACTAAGTTAAATTCTTGAGCCTTCGTTTTTCTGAATAAAAAGAACATGCTTATTCAATGCAGACGTGGCTTGCTGACATTTGCTTGAGGGGAGAAAAACAAAAGTTCCCAAAGACAACTTGAAAAAATCACCATGGGTCTTTTTCTAAAGGGATAATAAACATGGAAAAAATCTGGCTGCCACTCAAAACTTCAGAAAAGAGAAAATCAAAGGCAGGCCAATGGACATATTAACAAGAAAGCCAATATGTTATCATGAAGAAAACTTCCAGCAATCTTAATAAAATTAAAAACAATTTATAATACAAGTTTGGCAAGAAATAATACCCCCACAGAGCGAAATTGAAATTCCCAGCCCTGGCCATTGCTGACCACAAGTTGCCCTTTGGGGCTCTCATGGTGATCACCCTTCTTCTTCTTCTTCTTCTTCTTCCTCTTCTTCTTTTGCTACCAAGGATCGAACTCAGGACCTTATGCTTGCAAGGCAGGCAGCAGAACCACTGAGCTAAATCCCCAGCCCAATCAGCTAGACTTTTTAACTGAAGGCTTCCAGATAACAAAGGGAATATAGACATAAAAGTATCACAAAATTGTATATTCTGAACTTCTGGATGGTCCCTAGCTGTCCAGGGTTAATATGGGTCCATTTGAATAGTTTGCCAAGGAAATGAAACATGTTCAGAGAGTACCTAGATTTTCCTCTTTTCTCTCCTTCCGAGAGGAGGAATCCCATGGCATGATTTACTGCTCATCTGTCTTTGAGGACATTACTATGTAGGTGAGCTCAGCTCTGATCCCTCCTTTGAGTCTCTTCTGGGAGTTTAGATTAGGAAATTGTGCTACCTAGGTCACCCAGAAGCCCCTGCACAAGAGCAATAGCTTCTTGAACATGCCTCGAAGCTTGAGGTTGCTTCTGATGAGGATGAAGGGATGGATAGAAATGGACAGATACATTAAGATCTGCCAAGGCCAGTACCACCTACTGTCTGAGGTGATAAAGACTGTAGCGTCAATGATCAGGGACACAAAAGACAGAGCATAGAGAACAAGGAAGGAGAAGAGGGACTTTAGAGCTCTGGTGTGAACCTGGTTGCGGCAACCCTGAGGGTTGTGGGCATTGTCCTGCATTCTCAGGCTGTGTTTCCTCAGAGAACCAATCAACAGCAAAATCGAGAGAAGAAAGAGAGAGCATGGAATTGACATCATGACAAGTTTCAGAGGCATGAAATAGCGAATTTCCAGCTTCCTGTTCCATTCCTTCTCAGTCAGGTTTCCAGAAAGTTTGCTTGTTAAAATTTCCTCATCATACACAGAAGTTCCCCCCAAAGAACAGCAGCACTACCGTGAGGGAAATAAGGACAGAACCCAGCAGGAGCCAGGGCACCGATGCTGGGAGCCTCCACTTCAAGCAGAAGAAGGCGGGATGGGAGAAGTTAGCAATTTTTACATAGAACAGGACACTGAGCCAGGCAGCAAACCAGAAGGTGGATGAGTTGAAAAATTCCCAGTGTAGAGAAATGAGCTGTCTGGCAAGACTCTTGGAGAAGTCAACCAGGTGGAAGGAATAGTAGAAGCTGTACACCAGCCCAAGACACTGCTGGCTACAACGGGAAGCACCTAAGCCAAGGAGAATCATGTCCGAGGGGAGCAGCCTACCGCGCAGCAGCCTCTCTCTGCTCAGCGTCAGCACGATGAAGCCATTGGCCAGGATCCCCAGGACACACAGCAGGACAAAGAGCAAGGCAAAGAAGATTGGCAGCGCCAGTGCCATTCTAGCTCCTCCTCCAGTCACTATCGATCAGATGATCGGATGTCTAGGTCCCTGGGCTCCTACCTGTCCCCACCCACAGTTGTTCTGTGTTAAAGCTTTTGCCTAGAAATGCGAGCAGAGTGGTCTGTCTCTGTACCTCAGCCAGAGCTCACTCAGAGAGGAGGACACTTGTGAGCAAGAAAAGGTATGCTCCTGGCTCAGTGAGCATGCAAATCTCCCCTGGGCTCAGTTACCAGATGGCCTTCAGGAGGCCCTGATTTGCCTTCTCTGGTTTTGCCTGAGGACTTTTCAAAGTCTCTGTAACTGGGTTCATTCCTTCCTGTCCCATGCCTGGTCTATGTGAATGCTCCTCCTCCCTTTATATCATTCTCAAGATACATGATAGGTGATAGATAGATAGAGATTTTGTAGGTACAAATATAGGCAGATCCCTGAGAAAAATAGTGACACTAAAGGCATTTGTCTCAGCTGAGCCTTCCTGTTGTATATCCACTCTCATCCATAAGTACTCATCTCTTGAAAGTCAAATATCTTGGTCCACCTTTCCATACATCTCTAACTTCTTTATGAACCCTGAGGTTTAAATGAGGGGTGATTGTTTAAACTGGTTTTGTCTCTGGTGAGAGGAATCATTTCCTGTGATTATAGAATTGAGAGCATCTGTTTCTGGCCAGGTGTAGGCTAAAACCACTCTCAGACCGCATTCATGTCCTCACTGTCAAGTGGGTGCTTTCAACACGCCACTTACTTGATCAAACCAACACAGCAAGTCTGATAGAAGAGAGGGTGAACACAACCATGAGAATGACATCCTATCATCTTTGACATATTGTACTGGCTAGAATCGAGTGACAGTCCTCATCAACACTCAAAGGGAGAGCAGAGAGGCCCAAAGCCAGGGAGCATGGAACCACCTTATATTTTTCTACCATACTGAGATGCCATAGCTTAGAAGGCATATGTAAGTCCTGTCTTCTAACACCCGACATCAAAAAGACCCCTAAAAGACCATGTGGAATAGTAAAATTGTCTTAATATGGCCTCCTCCTCAGTTACTATTTAAAATTATTCATATATGTGAGCCAGGTGTGGTGGTGCACACCTGTAGTCCCAGTACTTGGGAGAGTGAGGCAAGGAGAATCACTGCAAGTTTGAGGCCAGCCTGGGCTAGTGAGTTCAAAGCCAGCCTGTACTATGTAGTGAGACCCCGTTATACAAAAAAAGAAAAAAAAATGTGTTTGGTGAAAACACATTAGAGCCACCATCTTAGCAGATATCCACTGTATGACAGAGTACTATTGACTGTAGAAACGTTGCAGGGCGTTAGGCCTTCAGAACTTATTCACTGAGAGCAACTGAAATTTGGTACAACTTGACCAACATCTCGTGATTGTTTTCCCCTTGTCCCAGCACAGGTAACTCTATTCTCCACTTCTATGAGTTTGGTTATTTTAAATTTCACATAAAAGTGAGATCCTGTGGTCTTTCTGTGTGGAATATTTCACTTAGCATGATGTTCTCCAGGATCAGCCACGTTGTTGCAAACAGCAGTATCTAATTTTTTAAGGCTAAACAATATTCTAGTGTGTGTGTGTGTGTGTGTGTATTTTTTTCTTCATGTATTCACCTGTTAATATTCTTAGATTATTTCCATCTCTAGCTATCTTAAATAATGCTGCTATGAACACTGGAGGGCAGTATGGACAGCACAGCCACATTGACCTGTGATTCACCCGAGCAGTGTGGAAGTGCCGTCGCCCATAGCAACGGGCTAGTTCAACTGGTGGTCTGATCTGTTGACTAGCAACTGTAACATTTTCCTTCTGGAATGTGTGGGCGGTACTCTCGCTCCGGTGCAGCGAGAGAGTATAAAAGGAAGAGGTTCTGTAATAAAGCAAGCAAGGAACATGAGAAGAAAAGTGCCTCCTGTCTCTCTGTCCTCGTCCTTTCAAGTTTAGGACCCGCTGGCAGGATCCTGACATCGCGGCTCGCGACAGGGCAGATGTCTTTTAGGGATAGTGATTTTATTTCTTCCAGATACAGTCTACAATGATTTAAATATGCTTTGTTCTCACTAAAGCTCATGTTGATGCTTGCTCCCAGTTTTGAAAAATGATTAGATTTATTGGTCAGCTTTGCACTGCCTGGGCAAAATACCTGACACCTGCAATTAAAAGAAGGAGAAGTTTGTTTTAGTTCACAGTTCCAGAGGTTTCAGTCCTTGGTTGGCTGGCTCTGAGGCAGAAGCACTATGGCAGAGAGGCCTGGCAGAGAAAAGCTGCCCACTTCCAGGAGGGAAGCTGACAGCGAGGAAACAGAGCCAGAAAAGAGGAGGCGGGCGGCCAGACATGGCCGCTGGGATCAGGCTCGAAATCTGCTCAGACACACCCACAAGTGGGCTTCACTATCTCCTAGGTCTCTCTCATGCCAGTCAAGTTGAGAGCCAAGATTTACCCTCACATTAGGTCATCAAGAGAAATTTGTTCTCCTTTTGCGTGAGTGAGTTCTCGCTCTCAGAGGGCTGGGTTCGTTACCTTGAAGGTAGAAAGCAAGCCTGGCTCCTCTCTCCTCGCTTATGCATGTGTTTCTCTTCCACCCAGGCCTGCTTTCTTCACACTTTCCTGCCATCAGGCCCTCACCAGAAAGCCAGGCAGATGGTACTGCCATGATCTTAGACCAGAACAAACCTCTTTTCACTATAATACTATGTAGCAATTAGTACTTTGTTATAGAAAGAGAAAATAGACTAAGACATACACCCAGGAGTGGGATTGCTAGATCATAAGGTAGTTCTATTTTTAATTTGTTCAGAAGAGCCATATTGTTGCCTTATTTACGTTCCCATCAATAGTGAACAAGAATTGCTTTTCTCTGCCTCTTGTCCAGCACTTATCTTTTTTTAACAACCATTCCAACAAGTATAAGATGATACCTCATTGCATCTTTGGTTTACATTTCTCTGATGGTTAAGGGATGTTGAGCAACCTATATCTGTTGGCTATTTGCCTTCTTTTGAGAATTGTCCATTCTGGTCTTTTGCTCATTATTAAAAATCAGATTATCTGGATTTTTTTTAATTGAGTTTAGTGGTACATTTTAGGTATACAGTACAGTTACATTCACTATTGGGATCTTGTAACTTTACATGACAAGTCTTGATTCTCATTTTTCCCCTTGTCCCTGCCCTTCCCTCACCCCCTCCTCCCCTCCCCATTTGCAAACACTTTATTTCCATTTTTTTCATTTTGTCATATTTTTTTCTTTTCCCTTATTACCTTTCCCCTACCCTTCCCACTTTCCCTACACCTTTAGCCCTTTTCTTCCTATTTTACATTGTTGGATTTTTTTTTTATTTTGCCATTGATTTATGTAAGCACCTTACTTGTTTTACATAGGAATCCTTTATACATGGTTGAAACTTTTCTCCCAATCTATAGGTTCCTTTCCCCTTGCTGATTATTGCCTTTGCTGTACAATTTTTTTTAATTTGATGTAATCCTCTTTGTTTTCACTTTTCATGCTTGTGCTTTTGGTGTCATATCCTGAAAATCACTGCACAGATCAATGTCAAGAATATTTTTCCTATGTTTTCTTACAACAGTTTTATGATTTCAGGTCTTACATTTAAATCTTTGAACCACTTTGAGTTGATGTTTGCATGTAGTGTAAAATGGGGGTTGTTTCATTCTTCTACATGTAGATATCCAATTCCCCTAACACGATTTATTTTTAAAAACTGTCCTTTTCTCACTAGGTCAGTTGGCTGTAGATGTGTGGACTTATTCCTGAGCTCCCTACTCCCTATTCTGTCCCATTGGTCTGTATATCTATCATTATGCCAGTGCTATATATATATATATTTTTTTTTGTTTGTTTGTTTGTTTGTTTGTTTGTTTGTTTTTTTTGTACCAGGAATCAAACTGGGTCCTCGTGCTTGTGAGTCAGGTGGCGGCACCCCTGAGCTAAATCTCCAGCCCTGTGCTATATTGTTTTGATTCTTCTAAGTTGGTTACTGGAAATTCATTGTGGGCTTCTGTGTGTGTGTGTGTGTGTGTGTGTGTGTGTGTGTGTGTGTGTTGGGTTTCATATTTTCTTGTAGCCATGACTTGTGTTCCTTGGAGCTTTGTGCTTATGTCCACATTTGAAGTAGCAGTCCCCTTTTCCAAACACTACAGACTAACTTCGGTGGAGACAAACCTTAACATATTGGGTTGATATCTGGGCACTGGGCTGAATGACACATAACAGCTCTGGCTCAGGGTGGGAATAGTGGAGACGGTAGCTCCAGGGTGATGTCATGGCTCTGTTCTTGGGCAGAGAGGATCATAGGATGTGGGCTGTAAGCAGCCCTTCGACTAGGGTCAAGTTTATCAAGATTGCTGCTATCCTCGATAGGAAAAGCTGCAGGTGTCCCTGATGACAATGAGGCCTACTGGAATCAGAGGTGAAGGCTGCTGGATACCTTCTGCTCTTCTTTTTCACTTCTGGGGTGAGGTTGCTCATTTGACATCTAAATGAGTTCACACAGGGGAAATGCTTTCTATGCTTTTCTGTGGGGCTCTTCTATTTTTTTATGTTGTTGGATTGCTGCAGCCCATTTATTATGCTCTTGGGTTCCTCTCAGGGCTCTATTAACCCATGGATAGCTGTTAAATTGTTTTTGTAGAGAGACATGCATTGTGACCCGTAGTCTGCCAGCTTGTTGTAAAAATATCTACCCAAATGAAAATATATTCAACTTCATATATCAATTCAAGTGGTTTCTGTTTAATACTTCAAATGTGTTCTTTCTACACACTTATCTAAAACTTTTTTTTCAAATGGTAGTGTATCCTTTTAAATTATGACTATCTTGAAAGGGTCAACAGAGAGAAACTTATTCATACTAAGTCATTACTAGTCAATACTGTGAAAGCTGTCATCATCATAGCATTGATGTATACAGTTATCCCTTCATTTCCAAGTGAAATTTGTACCAAAATTGTCAGATATTCAATTCTCTTATACATAATGACATATAGTTTCACTTAACCAGCATGTCCTATTGCTTGTTCAAATAATCTCTAGAACACTTATAATACCTAATTCAATGTTAATACCATGTAAATAATTGTTATATATTATCATATGTATGTTATGTTGTATTGTTTATGGAATAATTACAAGAAAATGTCGATACATGCTCATTATAGATGCAATATTATTTCAAAGTTTTCTATCTGTTTTAGTTGAATTCATAGCCATACAAACCATAGATATGGTTTATTATAGTTGTATTGAATTAATAATCCACAATAAAAAAGAGATTCCATTGAAGTTGGGTGACTATGCATTTTTCTCACTGTCACACTGTGTTTCTTATACCTTTTAATCAATTCATTTATTCACTGAGAAAATATTAAGCTCTTATGAGGTATGATTGAAAAATATGCTGAATATTTAAATTTTTAAAAATTATTAAAGTAAAAAAAATACAAGTAATCTCCTAAACATACTTCCCCTTGTTTTGATCATACTTTTCCCTTCACTCTTGCCACTTCTGGAAGTCTTCTTCCATGCGTATTTTTTATTGTGCAGTCATGGCTGCCTCAAAACATTTACCTTTCATGGTCATTTTTACTTTGGGGAAGAACCAGAAGTTTCATGGTGCCAAATCCAGTAAACAAGGTAGATAAAGACACACTGTAATATTTTTATGAGCCTGCCTTGCTATTAGATGGCCCTTAGCAGCAGCATTCACTGCATTTTTTTTTAACCACACTCTGTAAGGACATCCAGGAAAGATAACTTCCAGAAGTGCTGCAGAAAGTGGCAAAAACCATCTTTGGTCTGAAGTGCTGCCTGCTAATGAAACCTTTTTCTCATTCAAGAAAGCTTTCTTGAGTTTAACTGTTCCTACCTTTGCTCCTAACAATCCCTATATCCAAGAACTGTGAAAACTTCGCTCTGCTCCCCCTAGGGTTCTGAGGGACTCATAGCACTATTTTTTTTTTTTAACTATCCTTGAGCCATCCAGGAGGAAGGGGTGAGCTGAAGTGCCTGGCAGCTGGCTACTGGGGTCAGGAAATGAAGTTTGGAGACACTAAATGGTTTGCCTGAGTCATAGACCCGAAGCTGCTCTTAAGGAAACTAAATACTCATTCCTTCCCATGCCCCCTGCATGACACAGACTGAAGGCAGTACGCTCTGATAAGGAGAAAAAATATTTATTGGAAAGCAACAGGCATCTCAGTAGGAAGATGCCATTATCCCTCACAAGATGTGCTTTAATGAAACAAATCAGGTTTAGTCAGCAAACTAGGATAGACGCGAGAAGCATTCTGTGACTGACTGGGACACACCCTTTTCTGAAGGGTACAGTGCCTGGGGCAGTGAACAGGGTGGTCTGAGGTTCCTGTCCCCACGGGCATACGGTGGAAGTGATTGGTTAGGAGCTGAGTCTCCCTGGGAGGGAAGGCAGGATTGCTTTCCCTGTCAGTGTTCACCATACTATTTGTCAGATGGCTGTGGCCCTTGGGACTGACTCGCTGACCACAGGCCATGTTGCTCATTATTCTCCTCTGCTGAGGTAAGGAAGCATTCTTGCCATAGGAGGACCACCTATCTGTCTGGGGTTTCCCTTGGGTTACATTTTCTTTTGAAGCACAAAGTTCATGTTGTAGCTTCATTTTCTCTTCCAGGATCCGTCCAATAGTGGTCGCAAGCACCTGAGCGTCAATGGAACCACTATCCATGCAGAGTCTGCTGCTTGTGACTGACCCTTGACTTTGGGTAGTGGTTGATGGTGACTTGACTTTCTGCATGGACTCTGCTTCCCCTCTGCCTTTATCGGACAATATGTGCTGCAGAAAGTTCCTTACTCTGTTCCCAAAGGTGCTTTCTGAAGATGCTTGTTTTTTCTCTGACAGGAGCAGAGACTTGCTCCCCATCGTGTCTCTTATTTCCCTGAGCTGAGAAGAAGGAATCAGCTCTCCAACCCCCCTCCCTCTTACAAATCTGCCTTCCTTCCCTCCTGTTTTGGGCCTCTCGAAGCTCTTTTTCCTCTCTGGTGAAACAAACATTTTACTCTTACTCATCCTTGGATCCTGGAGTTTGGCCATCCTGAGCTCCTTTTGTTCCTGGCTCATTCTCTCCTTCATTAGGAGGTTGCATATCCCTCGGGAAGATGATGGTCTATTAGTGATCATTCTTCTTGGGCTCTCAAAGCACTCTCCCCGGTGGGTCAAACACGTTACTCTTGCTCTTTGGTGGATACTGGGGTTTCGAGATCCTGGGCTCCTTTTGTTCCTGGATCTTCCTGTTCTTTGCTAAGAAATTGCATATCCCTTGGGAGGGTGATATGCTCCTATCAGACACTCCTTGGCTTCTGAGCAGATGTGTCTGAGAAGCTAGGATGTCTTCAGTGAGGTGCATCTCTGAGGCAGAGTCTTGAAAAACCTTGCCAGTAGCAAAGTCTTGCAGGAGGACTCCTGTGGCTGGATCTTGAGTCTGGTTTTCTGATTTTGGCTGTGTACCCAGGCATGAGTCTCCTGGGTCCTGCAAAGTAGAAATTCTGGAGGTGGGGAAGCTCTTCTTGGATCCTAGAGACTTTAAACTCTTCAAACTCACATTAAGATTTTGGGAGGTTGACATCACACTGGCTCCCTTGGTAACTGCCCAGTCAGAGGACTGCTTCTTCTCAGTCTTCACTGTCTCCTTGATGTCTCCAGCCCTTAAATGTAGACATCCTATATTCATCTCCTCTGTTGACACACTATGGAAAGGGTCTCCTGAGCCCACAACTCCACTGTCCTGTGGCTCATACCTGTCTATTTTTGGCCTTGAACTTGGCCCAAAGGTACCTATCCCAGGCCCTGGAACAGTATCACAATGTCAGGTTCTGCCCACAATGCTGTAGGTATGGGGCTGAGAAATCAGGCTGGCCTCTTGCCTAGTTGGAGGAGCATCTGAGGATCCAGTGTTGTCACCAGATAGATTCACTGTTGGAGACTTGAGTGAGAAGACCCTGCATTTTGAGAACTGATATAATTGCTTTCACCTTCTCTCCTAGAATTTTCCGAGATGGTTCTCCCAGGAATTTGATATTCTGGGAGGTGGAGTCAGCCATGGAGTTACTGGAGGCTGAGGAGGAAGAGGCAGGCTGTGGAAAGAATAAAGCATCAGCTTTTTTCAATTTGAAGATACCTACGGCCTTGATGACCCTGAGGGTTAGGCCCCACCTGTGCCTCACCCAAAACCTTTTTATATGTGCTTCCAGCACCTGTTGAGTGTCAGGATCAAGAAAAGAGAAATCCTGGATGTTCTTGCTGTTCTCTTGATCCTTCAAAAATGGCTTATTCCCAGTTTCAGTAGGGGTATTGGAATTTCCTGAAGGGTCACAAGCATGGTCTACACTAAGAGTGGAATAATCAACATCCAAAGGGATTTTGTCCTCAGTCTGCTCAGCCTTCCCACTTGAATGGACTTTGATGCTGTCGTCTAGGTGCTTCTGGTCTGGAACTCTTGCTGAATCATTTCCTGAATCACTTCTTGGGGGTCTAAACTCTAGATCATTTACTGGGGAGTTTTCTGGACTCCCAGACAGACTTTTTAGGACCTTTTCCAGGTTATCGCTTGAGTATTTCTCTTCCTGTAATATTTCTGGGCACCCTGGCCTGATCTTTTGTATGACCTGGCTGCTTTTATCTGAAAGCACTGAGGTCTGGGGAGGCCCAAAATTTTCCTTTGCCTGACTTGTCCCTGGGTATTTTTCTCTGAGCTCTGTCAAGCCCAGAGTTAGGTGGATCTGCTGAGGCAGTTCACACATGTCCATTTTTTTAAGGTTGCTCCATTTCTTCCTGGAGCTTAGATTGTATAACATCCACTGGGAAGTTGATGGAGGACTTGTTTTCCTGGCTGGCCTGGTATTTGTCAATAGATTGGCTAATGACTTTCTGAGATTTTTTGACCACAGAAGGTAAAACTCTCCTATTCTCCTTTTGCTCCTTCAAAAGTTTGTGTTGTAGGTATTGAATAGTAGGTGCAATAGGATATTGCCTCCCCTTCTTATTGGTAGGACAAGAAACATCCGAGGCCCTAACTGGAGGTGAAGGGCAAGGTACAACTGGGAGAGATGGAACATGCTCCTGGGTCTGTTTCTGAGACACAGGTGGAGTCTTGCATGAAGGCATGGTTCGAGTCAAAGTTTGGGGTTGTGCCACATGGTGGACTACGGGCTGGGGGGAAAAGACTTGTGGAGGTACATTAGTTTGTACCAGGACATGATTATATAGTCCATTGAATGAAATAGGAGAAATCTCTAATGAGGCACCAGATGCCCTGATATTATCCATCAGGGACTCACTGTGTAGAATGGGGAGACCCCAGAAAAGCTGGCTGCATTTCTGCTGCAATTGGTCTCCCAAGACCTTGGGGTAAAAAAGCTGCTGTGAAGCAGGAAGATGGTCTGCTTTGCCTTTTGTTTTCCAGAAGGCCTGTGAGGTGATAGGATCTTCTTCTTTGTCCGGTGATTTTAACATGTTCCCCAGAGAATACCGGGGAATGTTTTGTCCTTCCTCTTTAGTGTTCTTATAAATCTTCAGTTCCACCTTCTTGTTAATCAGTATTTCTAGCACTTTCTGGACATCAGGATTGAGGAAGTAAGAACTCCCATCCTCTACCTGTGTGTGTGCAATGTCTGGCAGGACTGAGGCCTCTGGTGATTGGCAGGTAAGGTGACCTCCCTGGCATTCACTGTCTGATAAGCTGGAGTGGCACAAGGCTCTGGGAGGCTCCTGACCATGGGAGAGGGCTGAGATGGGACAGCCTGAATGACCAAGAATTGAAATTGCTGGGGCAGGGGAAGACAATGAGCAGTTGTTGGGTGGACTCGAGTTCTGTGGGATGATCCCCAATGGGAGTGATGATGAATCCCACTGAGGAAGAGCCAGGCTGGGGTCTGGCAGAGGTGGCCAGGAGGCCATGGGACTAGCAGTACGTGATGGCGAAGTAGAAAGCAAAAGCGGCTGGGGTGAAAGGCATCTTGGAGGAGTCAAAGGCTCTGGTGGTAGAGAGGCACTCGAGGCTGGCTGTGACCCAAGAGAAACTGGGAAAGTCTTCAAACCTGGTGACAAGGTGGGGACCACAGGTGGAAGGTGCTCAGTCAAAGGAGCTAGGGAAACCAAAGAGGATGAGGCGGAGACAAAACAATTCTCCGAAGGCTGCCTAATTGGTCTGTCAGATACCGAATGGAACTCCTCATCAGGGGCATCTTCTCTTAATAGCTGATAAAGTCTGCTGCCATGGAGAAGATTCCCAAGGGAGCTGAAGAAGACAGAAGACACAAGCTATAGACAGGCGCAGGCAGGGCCAGGAGGTTAGGCAGGCTGGGAAGGGGAGGACAACTGCTGTCTATGGCCCTTCCAATGCCCCACACCCTAATTCTACAAAACCCAGGACCCAGGGCTTTAGTCACACCCCACTCTAACCTGGGGTGTCCCCTCCTCTCCCAGCTCAGCCCAAGTTCCTGAGTTTACATCATAGCTCCCAATAGGAAGCAGACACAGAGAGAAGTGGAAAGTTTCTCACCTTTGTAGAAATAAAGCCAGATCATCAATCCCCTCCCCTTCTTCCCAGCAATCTCTACGAGCTGCAAAGGATGAAATGAAAGGTTACATTAGATAAGGGAGAGGGCTAAGATCACACAGGCTACTGGATGGAATGTCTCTTTGGGGAAAACTGAAAAATTCAACCCTAGCCCATGTATCAGTGTCCAAAGCTACATAATCAGAGAGAGTGATAACAAATCACACAGGGAGCAGCACTTTATCATTTACAAGGGACCTCCATCTCCACCAACCTCCATGTTCTTCATATCCTTCCTGTGGAGGAGAAGGGGCAGGTCATCTCCAAGAAGGATGCGCTATACAGCAAAGTGAAGCAGTTGTCCACAGTTGCACCTGGTGGTCTCTCCACTGAGTCCAGGCAGTATTGCCCCTCAAAGACCCTCCTGGACATTACCTTTCCCCTGGCCTATCACACTTCATTCCAGGCACAGAGCCCGAGAAATGTCTCCAGCTCTGATTTCCTTCCCACGAGCCACCCTCTCAGGGTGGCTAATTGACATTCCCAGAGAGGGAACCCCTGGTTGCTGAAGAGCAAGCAAGGTCAAGTCACCTCTGGGGTTCAAGGAAAACAACTCACCTTTCCGAGTGCAGCTCTTCTTTCTCATCTTGCTCCAGCTTTTTTTCACCATATGGTACTGAGAGACAAGAAAGAAAGACAAGCTTGGGTCCAACTCTCTCTCTCCTCTCCCTAATCAATATTATTAGTGCTCTTGAATAATATAGTTTTCTAATTTAGCAAATAAAGCTCATTTTTAAAGTGGCTTCTGCTTTTCCTCCTTGGAAAACACTCAAAATTTTCTAAGCATGTATTTCACAGTATGGTATCTCTGCTACGAAGCAGGGATATCTACAGGAGCACCCCAGCTGCCAAGTAGGATTCTGTTTCCTGAAGTCAGAGTGACTCTGACTCTATCAGAAAGCTCTCAGAGTCTCAGCACAGCCTATAGATCAGCCCAACATGCAGGAAAGGCTTGGCCAGAGGCACCTGTCACAAGAGGGGATCGTATGTACCAGTACTATGGGCCTGTCCTACTGCATAGGTCTCCAACTCTCTTGGGAATTCAGCCCACGCACACTCTCTCTCCCACCCTGCTCAGCCTGCTCCAAAAGAATCATGTTCTAACTGGCCATGGTGGCACACACCTGTTATCCCAAGAGTTGGCAGGCTGAGACAGGAGGATCACCGTGAGTTTGAGGTCAGCCTGGGATACATAGCAAGACCCTCTCTCAAAAAAGAAAAAAAAATACAAAGAAACAACAACAAATGAATGATGTTCTAATCTTTCCTGAGACTTCCCTTCTCAAGTTTCTCTCCCCTTGATTTAGAAAAGTAATAGCAAGAAGAGTAAAAACAAAAGAGAATTATGCTTGGCAGGGTCTGGCCCGAGGATTTCTTACCTTTCTGAGATTTTTCTTTCTCACTGGTGGTGGTGGTACCGATAGACAATCCGGAAGGAATGGAGATATCAGGAGGAAAATGAACACTCCACATGCAACGGCTAGGATCATATCCATCACCCAAGCAGTGGAACTGAAATTTAGCCATGAGGCGCTATCGCTCTCCAGAAGAGAGAGAAGATTCTCCAACATCTGAAGCTACTGTCGCTCGTGGGCAACTGAACCCTGAGAGTTCTCTTGCAGGTCAAGGAGGAGCACTCGGGCCCTACATCATAGAGCTGTATTATCCTCATCATAAAGGAACCCCCCATACACACCGAGGGAGGGGGAGGGGTGGCCAGAACCAGAGGCTGGACCACCGCCCCTCCCCCCTCCAGTGCAGCAGCTCCACCAACCTCCTGAGCTTTCTGAATCCCTCCTTCCAACTCTACCTGCTCAACCTGTCACATACAAACATTAATCTATTTTCTATTCATTCTCCCTAGAGCCTACACTTTACTTACTTCCTTGGAAATCTCTGCCTGAGCTCTATCAGCTTCATAATTTTGGAAAATTTTTAGCTTTCTCTGGAATATTTGTTGTTTGCCAGGGATTATCACATTCAATTCTCCTGTTTCTTCAACTGCTGCTTTTCCACGCAATATGTTCTTGCATTACATAGACTCAGACGTAGTACTAAAATTTCTCTTATGCTATTTAGCCCTGTGAGTTTTGAGTAAAAGTTTCCTGTGATCTTTTCAATTAATCTCACCCTTCTTCAGCTAAAAGATCTTAAAGAAAATTGAAATTACTATATTAAAAATTCACGAGACTGAATACACAAAACAATAAATCATCAAAGGACAAAGGAAGTGGCAAGAATGATGAGATGTTTTGAAGCAAGAGAGTGTTTTGAGGGGGACTAATGGCATTGCTTTAACTGTCATAAAGGTTTTTAATTTGAACATTTGCTGTATAGTTCAAACACACCATATTTTCTGGGAACCATCCTAGGCACTGAGGATATAGCAGGGAAACAGACAAGCAGAATCCCAACTTTTATGAAGTTTAAAGTCCACTCAAAGGTAAATGAAAATAAGCAAATACATGAAGAAGATGCTTTCAGATAGTAATTAGTTCCTGGAAGAAAATGGAGAGCAGCAATGCCCAAGTATTGCTGGAGGAAAAAAAAAGTTGCTCTTTGAGACCTACAGGGTAAGCAATAGAGAAGGCTGGGAGAAATATTCTCAAGTGACAACACATGGGCTGAGAGACAGGAAGCCAGACATTTGTCCTGTGCTTTACTAGGATATTGTCAAGCATAATTTTAGTCAGCCTCTTTTTTTTTTTTTTTTTTTTAGTATGGTGGATCAAACTCAGGACCTTGCACTTGCGAGGCAGGCAGTGGCACCACTGAGCTAAATCCTCAGCCCTATCTTTAAACCCCTCTTGAGTAGATGATCCCAAGATCACTTCAAGTCACAAAAAGCCTTAAACTAGACCAATCTAGGATTATTAGATAACTAGATATCTGCAGCTCCAATCCCTCTGAAATGGGCTCATGGAGAGGGAAAATGGAAGAGGGACAGGGAGAGCTTCACTTGGACCAGAACCTAAAGAATCTGGCTTTGTGCTTTCCAGTACTAGCAAATGTTTAGTGTTGACTTCTTCCTTCATGGAGAT